CCATATTGGACTAGGCCAGTTTGATAGCATCACAGCCCAATATATATCCCCTTTGATGCTAATGACCAGAAAAACAGGAAAAATATAATAATGAACTTCTCAGAGCACTTGACATAGTTTTTTCCATGATCACCAGGACAAGTCAATAGTGTCTGTACCATCACTAAGATTACCCAGTATCAATTCTTAAAATTTGTAAACTTATTTAGAGGAAATACTTTGGTCTCCATGTCAGTTGGATTAAATTGAGTTGGGATTTTCTCAAGTAATATAGATTCCTTCAGTATGATGTCTCTAATAAAGTGCATCATAACATCTATATGCTTAGGTCTTTCATGAGAAACAAGATTTTTATATAAATGGATGACACTTTGACTATCAGAATAAACTACAACAGGATTAACAAGTTAATTTACCTTACTTAACAGAGCCGTAAGCCATAAGGCCTCTTTAACAGCTTCAACAGTAGCCACATATTCAACTTCTGTTGGATAAGGCTACAATGGACTGCAATTGTGAGTTCAACTTATACAAGTATTACATAAAGTAANTTTAAATATCTTAGTAACCATTTCATAGCAGACCAATGTTCAGAACCAAGATTTTCAATAAAAGTTTTCAAGGTTTTAAACTTTTCAAAAGTGTTTGATTTTTGTTTAAAAAGAAATATCCATACTTTTCTTGAAAAATCATCAATTAAGGATAAAAATATTTATTTCCACCTTGAAAGGTAGTAGATGATGGGCCCCATAGTTCAGAATGCATGAACTCAAGGATAGATGCAGTATTGTGCTTTCCAGTATAGAAATGAAGCCTATACTATTTGCCTAAGGTGCAATACTCATAAAAGGGGACTTTAGAAATAATAACTCTGCAAAGGCTCCCATTTTCCTTAAAATATGCAAACCTTTTCACTAACATGGACCAGTCTATTATGCTATTTCAAGGTTGCATCACTCTCAGCCACAGAGAGTTTTGCAGTGTGACTTAAATTACTAGCTCTAGTGACATAGATACCATTCCGTTTAGCCCCCTTGAAAATAACTAAGGAGCCCTTAATTATTTTAAAGTGGCCATCCCCAAATCTACCTTACAAGCCTATGTTATCTAAATTGCCTATTGATATTAAATTTCTATTCAAATCAGGAAGATACCTCACCATTTCCAAGGTAAAGGTGTATCCATTTTCAAATTTTAAAGTCATACTACCTATCCCTTTGACTCTGTAGGCAGCATTATTGCTCATAACTACTCACGTCCATTAAGATCCTTAAACTCTACTAACCAAGTTCTCCTAGAGATCATATGAAAAGTGCAGCCAGAATCTAAAATCCATTCAACACTTCTATCTATGATGTTTGCAGTATTCAAATTAGAGGTAGGTTCTGTTACAACATAGAAATATATTGTTTTTTCACATAATGGCTTAACAACATTTCCTTCATCTATTTTAATCCCTCTCTGTTAATTCTTTTTCTTAAAACAATCCGTAACATGGTGCCCTGTCCTACCACACCTATAACATTTCCTATTTCCATTTCTGGACTTTGACCTATGCCTCCCTTTTCCTTTTTTCTTAAAGGTATTAATCCCTTGATTGTTTTGATTACTCTGATTATTACCATGACTAGTAAGTGATCTACCTCTCATAAATAAACTTTTACATTCCTTCCCATGTTTCTCAGTTTTAATCTCTAATTCTTTGCTTCTTAAAGAATTTATAAGCACATATGGTGTCAAGGTGTTTCTACCATACTTGATGGTAGTTTTAACATCTTTATATGCCTCAAGTATGGCATTAAGAAGGATTACAACCCTATATTCCTCAGATACCTTGTCACTAGCGTTAGCGATATCTTGTACTAATTTATTAAAGATGTCAAAATTATCATCTAAGTCTTTAGACAAATCAATCTTAAAACTGAAAAACCTCTCTAAAAGAAATAGCTTATTAGGAAGTGACTTAACTAGGTATAGCTCTTCTAACTTTTCCCACAAAGCCTTAGCATTATCAAGTTTTCCTATTCTCCTTAAAAATTGATCATATAAATGAAGGATAATAGAAGTATAGGCAAGTTCATCAAATTCAATTTTTTAATCAGCAGTCATAGTTTCAAGAAATTCATTAGTTATTACCTTTGAGACTTTTTGTTGAACAATGACTCCTCTCATTTTTTGTTGCCAGATAGGGAAATCCTCTTTTCCCATTAAAAACTCCAAGTTCAAACATTGTAGTCATCATTTGAAAATTTTTCAATCAACACAAAAAAAGTCGTTTAAGAGTCAATGTCTAACAGTAGATTTAGATAGTCACAATAAAGTGTTTGACAACTCATACGGGGTCATACAATATGGAATATCCACAATATTAAGAACAAATAAACTCGGGGAATAACTCCAAGTTACTTGTGTTTGAATTCACCAAGATTCTTCAAGTCTCAGAGACCCCAGGTCAAAGCTCAATTCAAAATGCAAGGTGTAAGGAACATAGGGGGAAGCATAAGAGAAAGTACAATTGGGCAGAGAATAATTACAATAAACAATTCAAAAATTCTTAGAGTGATAATGCTTAACACACTTATACAGAGTCAATTAAACCAAAAATCAAAGGTTAAGGTTTAAAGAAAAGAGAATACACTGCAACCCTAGAGTGGATTGAAAAATCTCATCAACCGATCTCTAACAACCCCTACAAAATACCCCAAGAGGTTATGGTACATGTAACAGAAAAACCAAATATGACAACCAACAACCTGATTCACGCCATAAACATAAGAGTACCAATATTTTCAAAAAATCGACAACAGAGAACCAAAAAGTACCACCAATAGGACCTAGGGTTTCACCTTCGATAAGATCTTTCAAGATCCGATTGTGAAAATTGATTTTTCACAAATAGATCAAGCAGATGAAAACTCGAACTGTCAAGAAAAGACTTTGATACCAATGTTATAACCGAAACTCAAAAGATATTCTAAAAACAAGAAAAATATCAACTAATTGAACATGACACTTAGGATCGATTATATGGGCTCAGAATAACATTGTATCCATCTTTACAATACGAAAGATCCACAAATCCTAACCCCAAAAATGGACGAACAGAGGCAGCTGCTTTTATGGCCCCAAATCTACCCAATAAATCTGTAACACCTTCTCAAACTCAAGACAAAGAATCACACAGACTCTACATACACAAATCTAACAAAAAAAAAAAAACCCAAAGTTTTAGGGTTGCACAAAGGTTCATGAAGAAGGCGAAAGAGAAGAGACACTAAGTCAAGAGAGAAAACCAGAAGTTTCTCAAAAACCAGATGAAAGGTCAAGTAGGGTAACCACTCAGATCATATTTATATAAACGAGTCATCACCATAGATTTTGAGTGGGTGATCAAACGGTCCAGAGCAGCACACATGTCCTCCTTATTTGGGGTTGGGTTTCGGCCTATTTCACATTGCTTTATTGGGCAATGATAGGTAGTATCTATTGGGTCATACGGTTTCATCATTATCCATACTAGACTGGGCCAAGTTAATGGCATCACAACCCAATAGGAATTATAATATTTTTTCTTTTAAATTAGTTTATACTAAGACATTTTTTTATTTAGAAGAAGGAAAGGGAAATCATCCAACTCGATGTCTAGGTTCAATTCACAAACGACATTGTACATAACAGGATAATTACGTTATATAATTTATTCTAAACTAAACAAAACTATAGACATTATAATTAAAATTAATAGGCATGTGAGATGTCTACGACGTCCAATTGTATTAAATTTCAAATTTAGCTCATGTTTGAGCTCCATTTTTGTGAAAGAATATATTTTTGAATAGTAGATTGATGGAGAATGTGTGGATAAAAAGATAAGGAAATATTTTAATTTACAAGTAATATTATTTTATTGGAGAATGTGTAGTTAAAAATGAGAAAAAATGGAACTTGGACAAGTGCTTAGTTTAGGTTGTACAAGGTACATTTCACTGCAAGAACATAGTTAATCACAATAAATAGCAGCGTAATAATTAAAAATTAGATATAACATTACGCAAACATAATAGATCCGTGCAAAGAAAAAAAATTAATAATAATAATAATAATAATAATAAAAAATATATATATATATGTTGAAAATTTCTTGACTACCATGTAAAGAAAAAGAATCTAGTAACTAGAGCTGGAAAGGGTTATTCTATGCGTACATTAGAGGGCACATAAGGGTGTCCATTTTGGACACCCGGCGGCCCTCTATTGGAGGGGGGGTGTGCACATAAGGGTGTCCATTTATGTGCAATATTATGTATCCATAGAATAATTCAGCTGGAAATCTCTGTGCAAAGCTCTTAGAAGAATTAGAAAACCTGTCTGAAAGGTGGTGATTCAACACCCTTCTAGTTACCCAGTAATGTTTGGCGTTTCCACCACTCCGTCAAGAATGCAAGACCTGAAAAAATGTTACAATTATAGCCCTTGTTTGATCCCCATTCTTTAGAAAAAATGAATTCTTCTATAGTGTTTTAACATCATTTCCACCACATATTTTTTAATAAAATAATATTACACGCAAATTCCAAATTTTTCATTATTTTTTAACCACATATTTCTCATTAATATACTATTCAAAAATTCATTTTTCATCTCAAAATGGGTTTCAAATGAAGGCATAATGTCTCAAAAAAATCACATCAATATATATTGTTTAACCATGATGATTAACTCGTGTAAACGGAGCGAAAATCCATACCCCATTTCAATTCATGTTCCGTGTAGTCCAAAAATATCTAATCAAAATCTTTCTTCATTGTGTCTATCATAATTAAATAAAAAATCTATATTTTATTCCTTCTCTAATGGAAAGAAGTCAATCAACAACTCGTGTCAATTCCCTTCAAACAATTTTTATATTATCTTTTCAAACTGTTTCCTTATATAAGATACTGGAAGTATGGTGTATTAACATATTGGAGTCCTTGCTTGTATTTTACATTGCTAGCTGGGTGATGTGTGATCGCACGTGGGTTCTGTAGCTTCTGGGTTCGAGATTATGCGATTAAGATCCAAATTATTTTGCAATTATTTGGACATTGACCTTCTACCACATTGCCTTCGGGGGTTTATATATGGGTTGGAGATTATGCTATTTTCTCATCTACAACTGATAAGCACAGTATCAAGAATACTTCCATGGCTTCCAACACCACCAGAGAAGTGCTCTTCGACCTCTCTCCTGTTCTTATAGTCTACACAGATGGAACTGTCGAGAGGCTCATGGGCACACCTAATGTCCCGCCGTCGCCGGAAGACTCAACCACCGGCGTAGCCTCCAAAGACATTATAGTTCTTTCACCGGAGGTTAAAGCCAGACTATTCCTCCCAAAGCTAGTAGACCCCACCCAAAAACTCCCTGTTTTAGTATACTACCACGGCGGTGGATTTATTGTCGATTCTCCCTACTGTCTGAACTTCCACCGTTACATGAACATTTTAGCCGCTGAAGCAAAAGCTTTAATCATTTCTGTCGAATACAGGCTCGCCCCTGAACACCTTCTACCTATAGCCTATGAAGATTCATGGACAGCCATTCAATGGGTGGCGTCTCACGCTATTGCAAATGCTAACATCGAAAAGGACCCATGGGTTACTAAACATGGCGATTTTGGTAAATTGTATATCGGCGGGGATAGTGCAGGTGCCAATATAGCGCACAATATTGTTCTCCGAACTGGGGTGGAACCTTTGCCTGGGGATGTGAAAATACTGGGTTTATTTCTATCTTGTCCTTATTTCTGGGGATCTAAACCAGTTGGGTCGCAATCGAAAAACGATTTGAAAGGTTTTGCATATAAAGTTTGGATGTGTGTTTATCCATCAGCCGCTGGTGGGATTGACAATCCGATGATCAATCCATTTGCAGAGGACGCCCCGTGCTTATCCGGGCTGGCGTGTTCAAGGCTGCTGGTTTGTTTAGCAGTGAAGGATGCATTTACGCCCAGAGGGATTCTTTACGTTGAGACTATGAAGAAAAGTGGATGGAACGGTGAAATGCAGCTGGCGGTGGTTGATGGAGAAGATCATGAATTTCATGTAAATGATCCTTATTCTGAGAAAGCAAAGGATTTGATTCAGAATATGGCTTCTTTTATTTCGAAGTGAGTTTTTTTATTTTGGAGTCGTTCGTTCCACATTTTTCTAATAAAAATGTATTTTAAACATCACATCATGAGTCGTGTTGAAATCAAATATTTTAGGTTGATTTGATAGAAAAAAATGTATATTTTTCCAAATAATGTGCACCAAATGGGAGCTTTATTTTTTCCGCTTTTGGAATAAGTATCCATATTAACTCATGCAAGATAACCATTTTATGTGCATGTTCATTTACGTGTAATTCATTTTGGTGAACATTAAAATTGAATTTTCAATAAAATTTGATGAAATATGTGAATGAAAAGTTATGTCCCATTAAATATATATTAAAATTAATTATTGATCTTAATTTAAAAATTTAATTGAATTTTAATCCAAACCAAACTGAGGCTAAACCCCTATTTGGTATGTATTAAAATTTTAATTTTAATTTAAGTCAAAATTAATAATTAATTTTAATTATATATTTATGGGACTTGCAATTTTTCAGCTACATATTTTATCAATTTTAATCAGAACTTGCAAAAAATCTAATTTTAATCTACCACCAAATTGGGATAAATGAGTATATTATTTTTTTAATTTTTTTTAGAGTCGAAAATAATTTATTTATTCTAGAATGAGTTAACTTTTAACTTTTCATCTTCTTTGTTTGAACCTTAAAGGGGGCAAAATATATATAATAATAATAATAATAATAAAAAATAAAAAATTTCTCTATTTCTTATTAGCACATAATCAAGTTTGTGGAAAAATCTCCTTGTATAAAACTTGGCGTGCAATTCACCCTCTACTGTCCATTCCCATTAATTCTTCCTTCAATTCCAAATAAAGAGGGCCAAAATGGAAAAGCTAAAATGGGCCAAATCGCTTTTTCTTCTTAACCCTTCTTTAATAAGGCCTGTTTGCCTGGAGCAGGGGTGTTATATATATAAAGCATGTAAAAACATTTAATCCACTCAATGGAGTCTCGTCTATGCAGGTCCGGAATAGAGATTCAGCAGAAGACTTCGTGGACGCAAGCCAACTCGGAAAAAAGGTTCTTGACATGTACACAAAGCTTGGTAATGGAAACTTAAATTCCATTTCAATTTTTTAGTCAATACTATGTATCTCTAAATTTATTTTTTCTACAGCAAAATGGAAGTTGTGGGAATTTCTCGTGGTGTGACCCACCTATGTATCATAAATCTATTGAGATCATGCCTGGGCTATTAAAATCTAGAAATGCGTACGAAAAACAGGTTCTCAAATTGCAGAGGCAGAACAATGTTTTTGAATTTAAGTCCTGGGTTTTTGGGTTTTTGTGTGGGTGTGTTATAATGTGGATTTTTGGTGGAAAATAGAGTTTCAGTACCCTTGTGATGTAAAACAGAAGGCAGAGTAGATTGAGTAACAGTTAGACGAAAAAGGGAAAAACATTAAATTGTAGATTTTGCGTTCTAGCTTCGTTTTGTGCCCATAAAACCTTTTTGGAAATAAAGTGATGAGCCACACTGAACTCACTACTTTGTTGTGATGTATGGTAGATTTTAGCCATCCGAGTTTGCTTAGGACTCGAAAACTGCCTTTTAAGTTTTAGTGTTGTTTTTGTCATTTATTTAATTTCGAATTCTTTTCAATTTTAATGCTTTTAAACTAGATTTTTGTGTGAACCCTTATAAATAAAGGGATAATTTTTCTTTTTTAGGCAATTTTTGAATTAATAAAATAGCTTGAGTTTATCTTTCATTCTCTGGTAGTTTCCAGATTTGTGTTCTTAAAGTTTTCATTTGAATTCTTTGTTTTACGTTGCTTTACCTTGTTCATATGTGTAATGAATGGATGTTGGCAAATGTTGTGACATCCTGTAGAAGTTCTGGAATGAATAGTGTTCAATGAAATGTTCCAATTTCCTTTCTTTTTTATGTTGGTCGTGGGTATTGGCAGTATGCATTTCTTGTTCAAAATTTGGAGCAAAAAATCCTCCTAAATGGGGAAGGTTGCATAAAAGCACCCTAAAAATGTAAAACACTGTGCAATACAACCTTGTATGGAGTAAACCTTTCACATTTCAACCTTATTACTCATTAAGTTTGCACAAAATTTCCCTTAAAAAATGAAGCTTTCTCACTCTAAAGGTTCAAATTATAAAATCAAAGTCAAACGTAGTTCATAATCCTACAAAATGATAAATATAAAATACATGGCTATTCGAGAATCATTTATTTTCAATTTGCAACAGATGGTTCCTGGCCTTTACACCTTCTTTTGTTGTGCTCAACAGCACCAGAAAGGGAACATCTTATCACCATTCTTTTCCTTGATGAACCTTCAGCAATAGATGCCACGGTGTTGGCTGGTGTCGGTATTTTGTTTGCCTCATTTCTTCACTTCTTCTTTGGTATCCCAAACTTCGTCGTGTGTATCAGAGGTGTCAATGATTTAGTCCAGGATTTAGCCATGTATCTAGACATGTCATCGGGGATATTGTTGGAGTATATATCTAAATGTACACTTCTTTCTTAGAAGCTTTGTTAACACAATCTGTAATGGACTAGATGACTCCTGAAACGTCACAATAACATGGCTGCAAGGTATACCTATGAACTGTCACAACTGACATGAACGTATCGTCACAATTAGGTCAACTACCTATAAGTTTGATTTGCATTGTTGGCGTTTTTGGAATATCTGGTTTCCCAAGTGATTAGCATATTCAGCCCTCGAAAGCGTGGTGTTTCTATAAATGGCCTTCATTATTCTGGATCAACCTCTCCACTACATTTGTTGCACGCCTCCATCCTAGCCACAATTCTTCGTGGCAACTCAGACCAACTGAACTTAGGGAGTCACTGCTCCTATCTATTTTTAGTTGACACTACTGCTTTATTTTAAAATTGCATCAATTAAACTCTTTGTGTTGCTGTTACCTTTATAATTTTAGCCTTAAACCCCACTTGATAGGATTTATTGAACGAATTGACTTTTTATTGTTCCCCACTTATCAACGTGGTTGGAGAATTCGACTACTGTGTTGACCCTTGCTTTGTTATTTTACATGTACCAGTAGCATTAGTTTGCTTTGGATTTATTTAATCCCCAAAATTTAAGATTTTTTTTATTAAAAAAAATGGTTCAAGATGTTATTTTTCATTGCTTACATTTATTGTTCATTGATCTCATCATTGCACGTCATTTAGCTGGTATTATATTGCATGTAGTTGAATAGTGGTCGTCTTGTCATCTCTATTTCCAATACATTGACCATGGATCCATCCCCATTTGATGCGCTCACTAGACAATTAGTGCAACTTGCCACTAGCCTATCGATTGTCCAATCAGATATAACTGCTATTCGTGAGGAGAGAAAAAACCTAGCTGCTAAGTTGAGCAATTTTAAGCGAACCCCTCTAACTGACACTAATTCTGAAGCGTCTTATAATAGACAATATCATCGTGGACAAAGTGATCAAAAATATTTTCGACGCAATCGTAGGAATAGAGATCAAGTTCGTGAGCGAGAACAAGACCATGGCCATTATGATACTCATTCTCTTCCTCGTCGTAAGTAGCGTTTCTTTAAAGACATTGACTTAGATACTCCTACTTTCGATGGTTACTTAGATCATGAAATTTTTACCCAATGGAACACCCTTACACAAGATAATCGGCTAGTAATTGAATACATTGCTCAATTTGAGGAATTTCGAGTGAAATGTCATATCGTTGAGGATGAGGCCCTGACTTTAAGTAGGTTTATACAAGGTCTATGAGATGAACTTAGGCGTGAGCTTTTCTTTCGAGGCATCACTACTCTTGATCAAGCTTACTCTTCAACTCAGGACTACGAGTTACTTATTAGTACTGCATATAAAAAGTGTGATCACCATCGTTCACCCATCTCATTAGCGTCATCTCATCATAAGTCTATCATAGAGCCTTCCCAGTCTAGTGTTCCTTCCATTTGGAAAAACAAGTGTAAAGATCGTTATAGCCCAAGGTCGTCTTCTTCATATAGAAAGCGTAATGACAATCATCCTTCGGTTTCATTAGCTCCACTTCCTCCTGTTAAGTCCCTTTTAGGACCTCCCCTCGTATATCAATCCATAAGCCACCGCCACCACCTCCATCAATTCAGTTGATACCGTCGGCCATCCCTCAACTGCCGACTCCTATAGCCAAAAGCCACCACCTACTATTATCGTCGGTCATCCACCACCCGCCACCAGCGCCGTCACCTTTATCTAGCAGCAGTCCAGATTCTTCAAATACCAACACATTCAGTTTCCAACAAACAAGAGTTTATATTACCCAATTCGTTTCCATAAATCCCAACAAGAAAACACAAAAAACAAGAAGAAAAAAAAACAAAGATTCTCCATTCAAACAACACAGTTGAGAAAGACCCAGTTTAGAGATGAAGCTAATATGCATCTAGTTTGGAGATAGAAAATGTGCCCGAGTTAGATTGTATTCTTTCCCAGCAATCCAACCCCCAGTTTCAAAATTACTGAGGCATCATCTTCAAAAAACCAATCCCAGGCTGATGGTCAAAATGAAGTCATTAATCAAAGTCCTGGCAATTTATTCAAGTCTCTAGTTCAGAAAAATCTTGGGAATTGGGACTTGATTACCCCAACTGTTCAAATTGCGTATAACAATTTTGTAAATCGGTCTCTAGATTTGAATCCATTTAAAGCTGTTCATAGTTATAAGTTTAGGCGGCCGTTAGACCTTATTCCCATATCCCCACATACTAGTGTGTCGATGTCAACTGAAGCATTTGTGCATCATTTTCATGACTTGTATATTGAGATCAATAAGCAACTTGACACAAGCAATGTATTATATAAACTTCAAGCTAATTTGCACAAACGATATTTTGAATTTAATATTGGAAATCATGTTATATTACAAGCTGGATACTTTTAAAGTTTTAAAGCATGTTGGTTCAAATGCACATGTCATTGCCTTTTCATCACATTTTGGCTACCACCCTACTTTAAATATTTAGCACTTCATTACTTACAAACACCGTGTTACTTCCTTTGATGATCTATTTCTACTTAGCTTTATGGACCCCCAACTTGACTATGTTGATATTTTTACTTCAATACCATCTATCACAGCACACAAAGATAAAATTGATGTTATTTTAGATGAACGTGTGGTATTGACCAATGATGGCAAGATTCAGTACCTCCTTGTTTGTTGGGTAGATCGACGTGCTTCTTATACTCCTCATTATATACAATCATGTGAAAATCTTGAAGATGAGGTGCATGAGTATTAGTTATTTGGAGTCCAGTATCAGTACTTGGTTAGAAGGAAAGATTACCCCCTTGGTCAGATCATATTTTTGGGAATACGCTACAATTTTCAGCACTATCAATCGTGAAATTTCGTTACTTGGTTCATCAGAAAGATCGTCCCCCGTGGCTTGACTTGACGCATTTGGAGTATCAGATTATTGCAGCCTATACTATCTATCAACTCGATAGGGTCGAGTTTTTCTCCCATCCCAGGAGAGTTGATGAGGACATCTACTTTTTATTTATTTTTAGTTGGACTTTATTTATGTTTTAGATTTTATTTATGTAATTGAGCTTATGTTAGCCCAAGTCCATTCTACTTAGAGTTTTAGTCTTTACTATTTAAACCTAATTGCGATGTAATTTCATTAATTTTGATGAATTGAAAAATATTTTGGTGGTTTGTTGCCTATGGCTTCTCCTTCCTCTCCCTCCTCCTTTCCCCCGTGAATTTCTGCTTCTTCTCCGGTTTCTCCCCCCATTCTCTCCGGCTCTCCCCTCTTTCTTGCTTCTTCTTTCTATTTTTTAATTCATCCTACATCAAAAGCACATCACATTTATTTCACTCTTTGAAATGCGATTTACTCCAATGCTTAGGCAGCTTCAACTACACCCATCCGTAGACATTCAGAACAATATTTAACATTTTATTTATTTCTGTCACCCAAGCAGTCTCTTGTTGCAGCTCTAAGTATATTCTTCAAAGCCAAGCCCTTATATTGTATACTAAAGATATTGTACGGATGACAAACATACAAATGATGCTCTGCACAATTAACATATGCTCTAGGGTACATCCCATTATTACCATCTACACTAACTATAGTCAACAACTAATATCCATGCTCAGTTTTCAAAAAAGGGGTCTTCCAACCCAATCAGCTTTCGGCATCCACTTCTTAAACTCTCCTTCAGTGCTTCTAGGCAAATATATAATCTTTGAAACTCTCCACCTCGACCCTCCAACTGCGTAGTTATCCCAACATTTGTGTACTTCAAATGCTCGCAATAATCTCACAAAATTTTATAGTGGTCAACCATACTACCCCTTATAGTGGAAATCTAGAGGCTAAGTAGCTTGAAGTTAGCCTCTTTTTCGGGTACACTATTGCACAAATGTGATCAGCACTATATGTCTTCACAATAAACTGGCTAAACTTTTCTCCATACTTGGATACAGCAGCCATGGATAAAATTAATCCTCATATACTGCCCGCAACCTATACCACTCATCCTTAATACCGCTTTCAAAATGGTTTTTTTATCTCAAACACCAAAGCTATCACCACACAATTGAGGAGTTTAGGAGGATATTCCATAAAATATATTCAAGTTCAAGGGGCATTCAACAACGTAATCCACTTGTGGAGGGGGGGGGGGGGTATTACACAACGTATGAGAAAGTGTGGAGACACTATCAAAAATATTGTAAA